ACCATCATCCATCATCATCATCATCATCACCCCCACCATCATCACATCATCACCCCCACCATATCATCATTACCCCCACCATCATCACCACTTCCACCACCATCATCATCCCCACCATCATCACCCCCACCACCATCATCAACCCCCACCATCATCATCAACCCCATCATCATCACCCCCACCATCATCACCCCCACCATCATCACCCCATCATCATCACCCCCACCATCATCATCACCCCATCATCATCACCCCCACCATCTTCATCCCCCACCACCATCATCATCCCCCCACCATCATCATCCCCCACCATCATCATCATCACCCCATCATCATCATCACCCTCCCATATCACATACACCATCATCATCATAACCCCACCACCATCATCATAACCCCCACCATCATCATCACCACCCCACCACCATCATCATCACCCCCATCATCATCACCCCCACCACCATCACCCCACCATCATCATCATCACTCCCACCATCATCATCACCCCCACCATTATCATCACCACCACTATCATCATCACCCTCACCATCATCACCCCCACCATCATCATCATCCCCACCATCATCATCACCCCACCATTTTCATCACCACCACCTCATCATCATCACCACCACCATCCATATCATCACCCTCACCATCATCATCATCCACCCCCACATCATCATCATCACCTCACCCATCATCATCACCCCACCATCATCACCTCCACCATCATCACCCCCACCATCACCATCATCACCACTTCCACCACCATCATCACCCCATCATCATCATCACCCCCACCATCATCATCATCACCCTCCTCATCATCATCACCCCCACCATCATCATCACCCCACCATCAACCCCACCACCATCATCCACCCCCCATCATCATCACACCATCACCACACCATCATCATCACACCAAACACACCATCATCATCACCCTATCATCACCACCACCACTACCACCATCATCATCGTCACCCCATCATCACCAACACCATCCATCATCACCCCATCTCCACCAACATCTTCATCGCACCATCATCATCATAACCCCACCATCATCATCACCTCCACCATCATCATCACCCCCACCATCATCATCATCACCCCCACCATCATCATCATCATCATCACCCCCACCATCATCATCATTACACCATCACCATCATCACACCATCATCATCACCCTATCATCACCACCACCACCATCATCACACCATCATCATCGTCACCCCATCATCATCATCATCATCATCATCATCATCATCATCACCACCACCACCACTACCACCATCCATCATCACCCCCATCCCCACCATCATCTTCATCACACCATCATCATCATCACACCATCATCATCATCATCACCACCGCCTACCCATCACCACACCACATACCATCATCCAACACACTTTACCTGGTGTTGATTGAGACTTTCCCTCTCCCCCTCCTCCCGAGTCCTACCAGTCCAAGTTTCTTCAGGTGACACACACACACACACACACACACACACACACACACACACACACACACACACACACACACACACACACACACACACACACACACACACACACACACACACACACACACACACACACACACACACACACACACACACACACACACACACACACACACACACACACACACACACACACACACACACACACACACACACACACACACACACACACACACACACACACACACACACACACACACACACACACACACACACACACACACACACACACACACACACACACACACACACACACACACACACACACACACACACACACACACACACACACACACACACACACACACACACACACACACACACACACACACACACACACACACACACACACACACACACACACACACACACACACACACACACACACACACACACACTGACTAATGGAAAAACTAATAAATTTGTCTTGTTTTCTGACCCTAACACCTCTCACCACTGCTACCTCATTCTCCCTCCTCTCCTACCTCACTCCTCTCTACAAAAATACCTAAGAAGAAGAAGAAGAAGAAGGAGGAGGAGAAGGAAGAAGAAGAAGAGGAAGAAGAGGAGGAGGAGGAAGAAGGAGGAGGCAGTCGACACACTAACCTGAATTCACCAAAGTCGCTCAGTAACTCGCTTCCCTGTTACCGGACCTCCCAGCCACACCATATAGTGTCACATCTATTGTACCAGCCACACCATATAGTGTTACACCTATTTTACTAGCCACACCGGTGTCACACCTATTGTGCCAGTCACACCATGTAGTGCCACTCTTATTGTACCAGCCACACCATGTAGTGCCACTCTTGTACCAGCCACACCATGTAGTGCCACTCTTATTGTACCAGCCACACCATGTAGTGTCACACCTATTATACCAGCCACACCATGTAATGTCACACTTATTGTACCAGCCACACCAGTATATCTATTGTAACAGCCACACCATGTAGTGTTATACCTACTGTACCAGCCACACCACATACTGTCAACTATTGTACCAGCCACACCATATATTGTCAACTACTGTACCAACCACACACTATAGTGTCAACTATTGTAGCCACCACACCATCGTGTCACACCTATTGTATCAGCCACACCATATACTGTCAATGTACCAGCCAAACCATATACTGTCACAACTATTGTACCAGCCACACCATGTCACACCTATTGTACCAGACACACCATATGCGTGCGTTGACTGTCCTCGTAGTACACACACATAATACACACACAAACACATACTGCTACATAACATAAGACTGGATGAAACAGTAACTATTGGCCCATACTGGGCAGTCCCGTTTTCCAACCCCTATCGCTCATATATCCATACAACCTATGTTTGAAGCTATCCAGCGTGCTGAGTTAATGATGATGTTTGGTAACTTGTTCCTCATCCACATGATTTTCCAAACCAATGTTTCTTTCGCGCCTAAATCAAAATTTGTTAATATTGCTACGGTTCGCTCCTGGTTGGATAGTTTGACTACCTTTGTTATATGACCTTTGTTTAGCCCTGACTTCCATTTATACACCTCTTTCATATCGCCCCTCACTCTACGTCTCTCGAGGGAGTGCAAATTAAATCTTTAACCTGTCTCTGTACTCAAGGTTCCTAATGCCCAGGATTAGTCTTGTCATACATACATGTATAATAATATAATGGTTGGCCCTCGTGTAACGAGGATGGCCGGCCCATGGGCCACCTAAGCGTGAATTTGTTTAAGGTGTACAAGCTGTCGCCAACACAACAAGCACACCCTAAGTTAACGCGCTGCATGACCTGGTGTCAAGGAATAGTCAGAAGACGGGGCAGCTCGCCAACTGCACTGGCTAACCATTACCCTGGAACAAGATCCGCAAATTGATTAACATCCAGGTTCCCAATTACTGCTGGGTAGACAAGAGGCAAATGGCGTAAAGCTTGCCCATAGTTTCACCCGCCTGGGGATCGAACCCGGGTCCGCTCGCTTGCGAGGCGTGCATGCTGACCCATTACACCACAGGAGGGAGGTAGGAGACTCCCCCACCCGTCAGCTACACGGTAAGAAAACATTAGCCAGAGGCAAGTCACCACCACCTCCCTCACCACCACCTCCCTCACTACCACCACCAGTCACCACCACAAGCAATCACCACCACCAACACCTCCCTCACCACCACCACCAGTCACCAACACAAGCAATCACCACCACCACCTCCCTGACCACCATCCCTCCCCTCACCACCAACACCCCTCCCTCACCACCACCCCCTCCCTCACCACCAACCCCCTCAACACATAACATACAGTATTCAGGGAAGACAATTACACTGATAAACTTTTAATCTTTCTTTCCAGTAATTCAATTTGCTACGAAAACCCTGTAGCTGTAGTGTTTATTGAGTGTATACCCCGTGGTGGGTGCCTCTTGAAGCTGTAGAGACTGTTGAGTGCCTCCTGTCGGCGTAAAGACAGAGGACCAGTCAGTCAGTCACTCGGGTACACTGTCACCGTACACCGCTGCTGTCTCTAGGTCTCTTCACACAATCAACTGTAACTAACTGGTAACTGTATACTGTATCTAAACTGGTTGTCTTCCTTGTAACTGTAGACTAACTAAATGGTAACTGTAGACTGTAACTAACTGTGTCATGTCAGCTTCTCTGTGTCAGGTGTCAGCTCGGGTGTCAGGTGTAAGCCCGCGTGTCAGGTGTCATGTTACAGGTATATAATACTATTCAGTCACAAAGATTTGCGCCTGATGAATATTCCTCTTAAATAAAACCTAACCTAACCATACCTACACTACCTAACCTAACCTAACCTTTCCACTACCTAACCTAACCAACCGGGTGTAACTAATTAATGTAGATTTCTAGTTTAATTCCTCTCACTTGTTTCGGTGTTCTACCTGAAGACAAACATTGAAGTGCATTACTCTACACCTTCACTACTGACTACACACAGCTATACTACACCCACACAGCTATACTACACCCACAGCTATACTACAGCCACAGCTATACAGCACACACAGCTATACTACAGCCACACAGCCATACTACACCCACACAGCCATACTACACCCACAGCTATACTACAGCCACACAGCTATACTACACACACAGCTATACACACACACACAGCTACCACAGCCACACACAGCTACAGTACAGTCACACAGCCATACAGCCACACAGCTATACTACAGCCACACAGCTATACTACACACACACACAGCTACAGTACAGTCACACAGCACCTACAGCCACACAGCTATACTACACCCACACAGCTATACACACACACACAGCTACAGTACAGTCACACACAGCTACCCTACAGCCACACAGCTGCCTACACTCACAGCTATACTACACCCACACAGCTATACTGCACACACACAGCTATACTGCACCCACACAGCTATACTACACACAGCTACTACACACACAAGGCTATACTTACACTCTACGGCTTCCTCACACAGGAGTACCAGCAGCTTACCTGAGGAGAAAGCAATATTAATGGTGAACATTGAAAAGACACAACATTATGGTATTAAGTGATAACAATTCCTTAACTCTACCTAGTGGAGAGAGAGAGAGAGAGAGAAGACTAACAATAACACCACCACCACTACCCCCGACCACACAACAAGTAGTATAATTTGCATACTTAACTTTCCCACATTGAGCTGAGTGTGTGTACAGTGTTACCAGACCTTACACTATATACTCCCCTGGGGCGAGATTCTCAAATATATCTTAGTTTTCCTCTTAACTCCGTGTGTGTGTGTGTGTGTGTGTGTGTGTTAAGAAAAAAGGAGTAAATATTACGGAAACTTTGATATGTGCGGATGCCTGTACACACCTGGCACAGCACACATCTGCTGTTCGACACCACAACCGCATCCAGCCCATACGTACGAACTGATCGCTATGAAGAGCCCAGTCCCAACCATTGTAAAATTATCAATAACTTGTAATAAACCAGTGCATTCCCAAGTAAATACTACTTCTTGCACCTGTCACTATGTTGAAATGCACTGTAGTTTGAGCTTTTCCCCATCTAGTTATTATATATCTTATTTGTATCACTTATGTTACTTGTATATCATTTGTAATTCGAAACCCATTCCCCAAATATGTAACTGTATATTTTCAGCCTTCTGGCTGCCAAGCTCTTTCAATAAACCGTTAATTATTATTATTAAACCTGCCACTATACACTCTACACACATCTGCCAACTCACACACATCTGCCACTAAACACATCTGCCACAACACACATCTGCCACCACACACATCTGCCACTACACACATCTGCCATTACACATATGCAACACATTTCTGCCACTACACACCTGCTACTACACACACACACCTACAACTACACACACCTACAACTCACACACATCTGCTACCACACATCTGCCCACCACAAATACCACAACACACCTGCCACCACACACATCTACCACTACACACATCTGTCACTACCTGCCACAACACACCTACCAAAACACATCTACCACACACACCTGCCACAACACACCTACCACTACACACATCTGCCACTACACCTGCCACAACACACCTACCACTACACACCTGCCACAACTCACATACCACTACACACACCTGCTACAACACACCTACCACTACACACACCTGCCACAACTCACATACCACTACTCACCAACCACTACACACCTGTCACAACACACCTACCACTACATACATCTACCACTACACCTGCCACAACTCACATACCACTACACACCTACCACTACACACCTGCCACAACACACCCTACCACTACACCTGCCACAGCCAACACACACACCTTCCTACACACACTCAAACTCACATACCACTACACACACCTTCCACAACTCACATACCACAACACACCTGCCACAACTCACATACCACTACACACACCTTCCACAACTCACATACCACAACACACCTGCCACAACTCACATACCACTACACACCTGCCACAACTCACATACCACTACGCACCATCCACTACACACACCTTCCACAACTCACATACCACAACACACCTGCCACAACTCACATACCACTACACACATTCCACTACACACACCTACACTATAAAAAAGTCGCCCCTTCTCAAGAATTACAGCTGATTGGCGGTTTCAAACCTGTCCGATTTCGTCCTGAAGTAATGATGTACAGTATTTCTAAATGAGTTTATTCACAATCGTTGGGATGACCGTTTCTGACGAGAAAGATATTTAGCTAAATTATATAACGATGCATACATTCATTATTTCAAACATATAAGTACGTAGAAAATTTATCAGAAGTATTATACTGTACATGAATTAACTGTTAAAAGTCTGGTAGCAAATTCACGCTTTTGGAGGATGCATTTAATATGTACTTATTTTTACCAACAATAAGGCATAGTAAGACAAATTACATATTAGTAATACTACATTGCACAAAATTAACAAAAGATTAGAATCACATTGAAATATTTACATGGCCGTCAGCGGAGGCGGGAAATATGAAGCTGTTAGCAGTCGCATTTCCCGCCTCTGCCCAGCCACAACACACCTGCCACTCACTACACTGCGGGGTGTGGCTGGCTGGGCAGTTCACAAGACGTTGTTTATGTTAAGTCATGTTAGAAAGTTACACCCAGTATAAGTAAAGTGTATGTGTAGGTTATGTGCGTCAAGGTTATGTGTGTATGTATGTGTGTAATGTGTAGTTTGTGTATGTATGTGTTTTTTTATGTATAAAAACTGTCACTTTAGTTTGCTGGTAATTATAAGGCTAAATATTCATATACTTTATAAGATGGCGGTGGTGGTGGTGATAGTGGTGGTGGTGATAGTGGTGGTGGTGATAGTGGTGGTGGTGATAGTGGTGGCGTTGTATGGTGGTGGTGGTGGTGATAGTGGTGGTGATAGTGAGTGGTGGTGATAGTGGTGGCGGTGGTGATAGTGGTGGTGGTGTATAAGTAGGTAAAAATAAAAAATAAAAAATAGTAGTGGTAGTAGTTCCAGGAGTCAAGGTCATACCACTAACTCTTTACGCCTTCCTCCCTCCTCTCTCCCTTTCCTCCTTCCCTCCCCTCTCATTCCTCCCTTCTCTCTCTCTCATTCTTCCCTCCCTCTCTCCTTCTCTCACACACACTTACATAACCTAACCTAACCACAGCCACACTAATATCACCACACGCATACACACATCACAAACATACACTTACATACATAACTACAAACATACACACTAAATTACCTCCAGGCAGTCACAAAAATACACAGTTACCTATGCGGTTATGTCCACCCACCTACACACACACACACACACACCACAGATGCAAAGTCCCGCTTACCACTACACGCCCCCACCTACTACTACAACTACCACCACTACAACCTACCACAACCCCCACACCACTACCACCACAACTTACCACTACCACCACACCAACCTTATCACAACCCCCACACCACTACAACCACAACCACCTTATGACAACTAGGTACCAACAACCACTTAAACTGTCGAGATAATTAAAGGCGATTCAGGTCACTTTACAGTCATCGAATTAAGCCGATGTTATGTATGTATGTATGTATGTATGTATGTATGTATGTCAAGGCACACCGTTAGTGTGTCAGGGCTGTGGGGGTTTACACTACAGGTGGGTCAACAGTCAACACTACGGCGGTGAGGGGGCAGGAAGGAAGGAGAAGGGGGGAGACAGGAAGGAAGGAGGACGGAAGGGAGGAAGGAAAGAGGAGGGAGGAAGGAAGGGGAGGAGGGAGGAGGAAGGAAGAGGGGTGGGAGGGAGGAAGGGGGAGGGAGGAGGGAGGAAGGGAGGGAGGGAGGGAGGAAGGGGAGGGAGGGGGAGGGGCCAACAAGCACCTACTCGTCCCACCCCCCTCTCTCTCTCTCTCTCTCTCTCTCTCTCTCTTTTCCACAGACCGATTTGGCAGAGTCCAGGTATATGCAGGCCTGCCGTGCGCTGATTGGATGATCCTCAAGGAGCCAATCATGACATCAGTGTCACTAAATCAATAAATTAGGGTATGGTTGGCGGGTGAACTCAGGTAAGGTGTGTTGATATTAGGTGTAGTGGGTGGGTTTAGGGGGGTGGGTGTACTTCAACGTCATGGTTGAGCAAGAACCAATCACCACACGACATGTCCGCATACACGTGTATTCTGGCACTGGACGGGCAGGGAAGGAGGGAGAGGTACCAGCGGTGGCTAAAAGTAACAGCATGTGTGAACCTGTTACTGCCTGTGTAGTGGCCAGGGTATATACTGAGTGTGTGGCCTCCCTCCCCCTCACTAACTCACACCCGCCACTAAGGTAGGTCTACAGCTCCTGCCCGCCTCCCAGTGACCACCATGGCCTGGCCAACTAAACTGTTTCTGCGTCTTGCTGGCCACAGCAACACACGGGAGTGCTGTTAAGAAGAGGTGAAGTAGTGGTGCAGTGTTGGTGGTGTCCGTGGCCCAGTCAGTGGCCAAGCATTAGAACGGGTGGTCACGCCTTGGGGTGGTTGGCCACGCCTCGGGGTGGTGGCAGGGCCAGGGAGGCACCAGAGCGGCGCCTGCGGCAGGTTGCAACACAATCAATGAGACGACAGCTTCCTCTAACACCTATCTCACCTCTCCCCTCACTCTCTCCCTCTCCTTCATACCTCCCCTCACTCTCTTTCCCCTCACTTTCTTCCTCTCCTTCATACCTCCCCTCACTCTCTCCCTCTCCTTCACACCTCCCCCTCACTCTCTCTTTCCCCTCACTTTCTCCCTCTCCTTCATACCTCCCCTCACTCTCTCCCTCACCTTCCCCTTACCCCAACACTTTACAACCTACCGCTTCATATGACTGAAGCGTGTTTAAAAATGTGTATTCGAATCTTTATAAATGTTTATCACACACACACACGCGCGCGCGATTATTGTTATCAAAGTTAGTAAAGTGTTGTTACTGTGATAAGTGATCTCGTACCGTTATCAAAGGGACTAGCATGAGTTATCAAAGGGTCTTCTCCACACATCCCCCTAATAGTGTCCGTGTGTTTATACTGTAAGTCTGTGTACGGCCGCCCGCCCTTCACTGTACTAACATCAGTGTACCTTGCTTCATGAGTAACTAGTGTAAGAGACATCAGTGTACCTTGCTTCATGAGTAACTAGTGTAAGACATCAGTGTACCTTGCTTCATGAGTAACTAGTGTAAGAGACATCAGTGTACCTTGCTTCATGAGTAACTAGTGTAAGAGACATCAGTGTACCTTGCTTGATGAGTAACTAGTGTAAGAGACATCAGTGTACCTTGCTTGATGAGTAACTAGTGTAAGAGGCCTCAGTGTACCTTTGTTCATGATTAACTAGTGTAAGAGGCCTCAGTGTACCTTGGTTCATGAGTAACTAGTGTAAGATGCATCAGTGTACCTTGGTTCATGAGTAACTGGTGTAAGAGACACCAGTGTACCTTGGTTCA